GTCCTCCTCAGTTTCAGCAAGCAGGGTTGTGTCATCTGCATAATGCAGATTGTTAATAGATATTCCACCAATCCTGACACCACACTTCTCCTCCTAGAGCCCAGCCTCTTGGATAATCTGTTCTGCATACAGGTTGAAAAGCTATGGAGATAGGACACATCTCTGGCGTACACCTTTCCCAATTTTGAAGTATGCAGTGTTTCCTTGCTCTCTTCTGACTACTGCCTCTTGGTCCAAGTATAGGTGTTACATTAGAAGGATCAAGTGTTCTGGGATTCCCATTCTTCTCAGAGTCAGCCACAGTTTGTTATGATCCACATAGTCAAATACCTTTGCATAATCAATGAAACACAGATAGACATTCTTCTGGTATTCCCTGCTTTCAGCTAAGATCCATCTAACAATAGCTACAATATCCCTAATACCACGACCCCTTCTAAACCCAGCCTGGACTTCTGGCAGTTCTCTGCTAATGTGCTGTTTCAGTCATTTTTGGATAATCTACAGTAGAATCTCGCTTGCGTCTGAAATCAATGATATTGTTCTATAGTTTCCACACTCTGCTGTGTCACCCTTCTTTGGAATGGGATCTCTTCCAGTCAGTTGGCCAAGTGGTTGTTCTCCAGATTTCTTGGCACAACTTGGTGAGCACATCCAGGGCAGCATCTGTGAGCTGAAATATGTCAATTGGTAAACCATCTATTCCTGGGACCTTCTTTTTTGCTATTTCCTTCAAAGCAGCTTAAACCGATATAAAATTTTTTAAAGATAAATTTGGAATAAAAAATAATTTGCCCAATGAAATCTGTCTTTTGAGTTCTTGACACTGATACCATGGGAGCTGATTGTGAATGCAAGTAATGACAGTGAGTTTAAGTTACTAAGGAGGGACAGTTGGGTAAGAGGGGATAAGAATGGTACCACAAGCTGGAAACACAATCAATCTCACTTAATTGTACATGTAAGAATGGTGGCCTTGGGCTATATTCAACCCTCTGTATTCTAAAAAAAGAATTAAAATCAAATGAAACTTAAAAAGAAAAAAAAAATGGTATCAAGTTCACCCAAAACCGAGTACAGTCCAAGGCAATGCTGTTGAGCCATTACACAGCTGAGGAAGCTGAGGGTCACAGAGCAATATCACAGCATGTGCTTACAGTAAAAGCAACAGAGGTGTAGACCGGCGAAATGTGTAAATGCAGAGGGAAGATGGCCACTCCACTGAACAATGAGGAAGAAAACATTTTTTATATTAATAAAGCAGGAACTAGAAATAACAAAATCATCATTGGATGACTGACAATCAGAAGAGTCAAAGGCACCATGTATAAAGCGTGGAGACCTATCAAGGGAAAGGGGATAACATATAAGTGGGATTACATAATTGGTAATTCCTACAGAAGGAAATCATATGGTATCACAGAATTGATATTCCCTGGGAAAGGACTTCGTTCTCGGAAGGTCAGTGGCAGAGAGGAAGACCCTCAATGAGGCGGGTGCAGACAGAGACAGCAACAACAGGCTGACGCACAACCGAGCTGGCGAGGCTTGTCTGTGGAGCGTTGTGCACTGGAGTCAACTCAAGGCCACCTAACAACAACACCAATGGTTAAAGTTGCATAATTGTAAGCATACATCATCTTCAGATTGTTACAGTATGGTCCATTGAAATGGGGCAGCCCCAGGAAGATAAGCAATAAAAGAACAGCAAACAACAAATGTTGGCGAGGTTGTGGAGAAACTGGAACCCTTATTCACTGTTGGTGGGAGTGTAAAATGGTGCAATCCTGTGGAAGGCGGTATGGCGCTTTCTCAAAAAGTTGCAAATAGAGACACCATTTGACCCAGCAATTCCACTACTGGGAATTTACCCTAAAGAGATCATAACTGACATCCAAGCAGATATATGCACACCCATGTTTATTGGAGCTTTGTTTACAATAGCAAAGAGGTAGAAACAACCTAAGTGCCCGTCAACAAATGGACAGAGAAGCTCTAGTATATTCACACAATAGAATATTACGTTGCATTGAAAAACAAAGAACTCATGCAATATTATTCAAAATGGGTGACCCTGGAGGATATTATGCTGAGTAAAATATCTCAGTCACAAAAGGACCAATACTGCATAGTGCCACTGTTGTAAAGTGGGACTGAATCACTTAGGGGTTGTGGGGGTAGGCTGAGAAAGATGGGATAAATTATGTATATAGTGTTGAAACAGATGAGGGAGATAACTGTTTAAAAGGTATATATAGTTAGGTATTATTGTCCTGGCAGGAGTCCAGAATGAAGGCTGCATAGTGGAATGGACTTGGGGGAGGGATTGTATAACAATGAAAGAATTTTTCTTTTACTTTTCAAAGAGAAGAACGAACTGGAGGAGAAGGGTGGGCGTGGAGAAAAGGGCAACAATGAATAAATAGAAATCCAAAATCTCTGTAAATTTTCATGAAAATTAATAATAATAATAATTTTTAAAAGATGTAAACTTAAGAAAAAAAGGGAACCAGGTTAGCACACATGAACCCAGGAGCAGGTGGGGGTTGACTGACCAGTAACTAACCTATGGCCTTTGCTCAGCATACTTAACAAACCAGTCATCATGTATGTAAAAATCAGCCAAGAGAAAAAAATCCCAGCCTGACCGTTGTGAGGCTGTGGTCTCTGTCAGCAGTCCCGTGGCTAATCAAGCCTTCTTTGCTTCTCAAAAGAGTCCATAGCTGCACTCAACAGCAGCGATTTCAAAAATTTCTGCATAACTTGGGAGAGACTGGAGAACATTATGCTGAGTGAACTAATTCAGTCTCATAAGGACAAATACCGCTTAAGACCATTATTGTAGAAATAGAAGGATATTCAGTGAAACATGTCTGAGGATTCAAGGAGAGAAGGGGTGGGAATAGCCGGGTGAGGATGGGTAGAGACAATATCACAGAGTTGCACAATCTGGTGGGTGGAGGGAGCCAGAAATGAGAAAGACCTGGCAGGGAGCTGAAAAGAAAGGATAATAATGGTGGGCATAGTACAATGATGATTCATTTTATAAAACATAATGCATGAGAATGATTGTATGAAACATAATGTGGATGAAGAATAGTGGGAAACACAATGTGTACAAACTTCATAATCAAACCAATAGAAAATAATAATAATAATAATAATAAAGATACAGGCCATGGTCTTTGCAATCACTTGTTATGCATCAGAGAATTGGGCAATGACTAGGGAGGATAGGAAGAGAATTGATGCCTTTGAGCTGTGGTGCTGGAGAAGAGTATTGAGGGTCCCATGGACTGCCAATAAAACAAACAGATCCATCCCGTAGAGGGTTAAACCAGGCTACTCCTTGGAGGCAAGGATTCTGGAGCTTCGTCTGACATACTTTGGACATGTTGTAAGGAGAGACAGGTCCTTGGAGAGGGACATCATGCTTGGGAGGGTGGAGGGACAGCGCAGGAGGGGAAGACCCTCTATGAGGTGGATTGGCTCAGTGACTGGGGTAATCGGGATGGGTGTTTCAGAGGCAGTGCGGTTGGCACAGGATAGAGCAGGGTTTAGGGCTGTTGTACATAGGGTCGCTATGAGTCGCAAGCGACTTGACGGCACATAACAACAACAACAACAACAATAATAAAAGATGATCCTGGTGTGTTGTTCTGTCACCTGGAGTTCTGGACAGAAGGTTGAATTCTACAACATTTTAATAATGTCAGGATACATATTTTTACTATCTTATCATAAAAATTGCTTCCTCAATCATGTGCTTCTGGGATTCATTGTAAAAATTTCTCCATAATTCTGTGCATCAAGACCCTTTGAACTCAAGCTTTTATACTTTGTTGTTTTTGTTTGTTGTCAAGTTGGAACCAACCCATACCTGACCCTCCAGGGGGTTTTCAGAAGTAGTTAATCACAGGGGAGGTGATGGCCTATCCTTCTCCTGTCGAGCAACTAGTGGATATGAACCGTGTGCCTTTGGGATTGCAGCACAGCTTTTTGCTACTAGGCCACCAGAGCCCCCTATTGTACTTTATATGTGTTCAAAGGATGATAGAAAAATGCTTTGAGTATAAATCGTGTACCTGCAAGACCTCAGAGAGATGGAAAGTCTCTTAATATGGTGAAAGGAACTAATGGTATAAAACCAAAGAAAACAAAAACAAAGGGGGAAAATATCAACGCTCACTGTGTTGAGTCAATTCTAACTTAGAGCACTGCTGTAAGTCCTCTGTTGTGGGTGAAACAGTCTATTGTTCTACCAGAGCAGCTGTTGGATTTGAACTGCTGACCTTTTAGTTAATAGTCTGACACCTTAGCCTTAGTCTCCCAGAGCTCCTTTCTGTGACAAAAGGCACTTTTGAAACCTGCATGGATCCTAGTCTTCCTTCAAGACTATAAAATGGGGTTGGAGCTATGCTATCTGACTGCTCTCTTTCCACACACACAGAACCTCTGGTTTTAGATTCTCATACATGAGGTCTCTTCCAAGGCCAAGGTTCCAGAGTGGGATCAGGGTTTACTGCTGAATAGCCTCTTCCAGGGCTGTGTCAGGCGCTTCATCCCTCCCTCCTCCAATTACCCACAGGGTTGGGTGGGTGAGGATGCTCTCGTCACTTCCCTGGGGTTTTTTTTTTCCTTAGTTGAAGAGGAAAGAGTTTGTGTAGAGGCTACAGAGGGTGACAGTGGCCAAGAAAACCCTGAATCAAGAGAAAGCTGGAGAGAAAGGTGCAGAGACAAGCAGAGGATGGACATGGGTGACCCCAAGGAAACAGGCAGCCTGGGTAAGGCTGGGGTGGCAAGACTCCAGGATCTAGGGAGGAGTTCGGGTTTGGCCTTTGGCTTGTGGAAAGAACGATTGAGCCTCCAGCTTGGGGCAGGAAACGGCAGCTTTGAAACAGAGTCGTGTTTGGTCCCAATCAGAGGATGAGGTGACATTCTGGGGCCACAGGCTCATGGGGAAAGACCGTGGACTGCTACAGACCCACCATCCGAGGAGCATGGCAGGTACTGAGGTGGAATGTTCAGGGATGGGGACCTGGGGCAGTGAGTGGCTGGAAGTCTGTCCAGGATGGGCAGGGATGGGTCTGTCCCTGAGCCCCCAGCTCTGCTGGTCCTGCAGGGTGTCTGTCCCGAGTGTCCCTGCCTCTGCTGCTGCTGTTCATCTCTCTGGTCCTCTTCTTTGTGCTGCTGGTGACCATCCAGGTCCAAGGTGAGTGAGGGGTCGGGTCTGTGGGGGTGGGAGCTTGGATTCCTTTGGAATTTGAACCACTGAATGATCCTCCTCTTGCTAGAGTCCCCTGGCCCACTATGGCCGGGTGTCCCGGGCTTTGTGTACCTTCCTGTGTGATCGTGGAAGGTCATAGCCCTCTGAGTCTCTCCCCTCCTCTGTGAAATGTAAACCATCTACTCCCATCAAAGGTCTGGCTCTCAGAGATGAAGGAACCCAGCCGGGTTCCATGACAGGTATAAATGGGGACGCTCTGTTCTGTTTCAGTCTCCGGGATCCATCAGTCCCTGCAGCAAGAGCCCAAGGACCTCAAGGGCAGCTCACTGGGTGAGACACTGGCTGCCAGGTCCTAGGTGGGAGGGGGCTTCGAGGCTGTGAGTCCTGGAAGAAGGAAGGGGGTGAGATACAGGAGACAGGACAGCCCCAGAGCCTCCGCCCTCTCAGCTGTAGACTGCTCTCTCAGAGGCACCATGAGATCGATAGCGAGTGGTCTCCTGGGGCCCCCTCTGCACAAAGCCTGCAGAAGGTGCTTGATGATGGAAGTCCGCTTCTTCCAGTTCCTGAGAAGCAGCGGGAAGCAGAGGTGAAGGCGATCCTTCAGCAGCTGGCCTGGATGAACTCCTCCTTGTCTTCCTTGGGTGAGGGTGTGGTCCCCGCATGGGGATGGAGTGGGGGTCTTAGGGGGCCTGGGACCTACCTATGTGGTTGCGGGTCTGAGGAGGGTGAGACTCTTCGTCATGGGCTTCTGGGGCGCTGGATGATCTCCAAGTCCAGCGTCTCTCACACAAGTGCCAAGGCCGATGGGACTTCAAGCCAAGTGACATAGGTTCCTGCCCCCTCCTCCTCAGCTAACTTTTGCTTGCCCTGCCCCTGGAATTGGGGGTACTTCCATGATAGCTGTTACTTCGTCTCCTGGGCCCAGAAAACCTGGAACGCTTCCGTCGTTGCCTGCAAGGACCAGAAGGCCCAGCTGGTGATCATCAAAAGTGCTGAGGAGCAGGTGAGCCGCACACAGGTCCCGCTGGGATGAACAGTGCCCCTGCTCAACCTAACGCCTTATCCCACTTTCCTCCGCCCTCTAAGACACAAAAGTCGAGTGAGCAAATCGAGGTGTGGGCATGATCAGGAAAGGCCTCCTGGAGGAGGGACCATCATGCATTTGGGGAAGTCAACTGGGAGAAGAAGACATAGCGAGCTCAAGAATCAGACATGACCAGACACACATGTGAACAAGTGAACACACTGCCACACGTGTGCACATTAACCCACGCACACGTGTATCTGACACAGCAACTGCAGCAATGGGTGCAAGGGTGTCAGAGATGATGACAAAGGCACAGGATAAGACAGGACTCAGGTCTATTGTCCATCGGGTTGCTATGAGTCGTACTCAATGCAACAGCACATAACAACATAGAAACACACACAACTCAACTGGGGACTCTATGGGAAGAACTTCAGTCCCCGTGGATGGAGATGAGGAAGGAGGGTGATGGATTTTCCTCCTCATGTCCCTCCCTCCACAGAGATTCCTGCAATCTCTGAAAAACAAGAACAACGTTCGCCAAGCCTGGATTGGCCTCAGTGACCACCACAATGAGGGTGCATGGCACTGGGTGGACAATACCAAACCCCAGGTTAGGTGAGTCCTGGGGAAAGGGATTGAGAAGGGGTGAGCAGAGGAAAGAGCCGACCGCCAACCAGCCCAGCTCAGGAGGGTACAAACTCAGGGTCTGGAAAACATCACCTGGGAGTGGATTACAATGCAGAGTTCTGGTTACAACCTGGGCACTCTGATTCACTATGTGTATGTCAGGGCCTGGGAATGTGCATTTCACTGATAGAATTGATACTGATGGAAGGGACGATGCTTGAATCCACATTTGCAGAAACCCAGCCTCCAAACCTCCTTGCCACCATCGAGATGGCCCCAGAAATTCCCCATGGAAGGCCAGGAACCCCCACTCTCCCCAGGGTGGGTTGGGATGGGATAGGGGTGCGAAGAAAGCTCATGACTCTCTAATGGGGTTCACAGCTTCTGGAACGACGGTGAGCCCAACAATGTTGGCGATGAGGACTGTGTGGAGCTCAACAATAACGGCTGGAACGACAACAAGTGTACGGCAGAAAACTTCTGGATCTGCAAAAAGCCCTCGAGTCCCTGCTCCAGCCTCTGAGGACCACAGCTCCCAGAGGGGCCAGGCGCCAGGCAACCTGGACATCACCCTGCTGTTGCCACTCAAGCCTAACGTGGCCCTGTTTCCCTTCACTTCTCAAGCCCCTCTCGACCTGAGATCTTGGTGATCTTGAGATTTCCCCCCCCCCCACCTCCTCTGAGACCTGTGGTCCCATTTCTCCATTCATAGAAGACCCCTCTCCTCAATGGAAGATTTTGTATTGTTTTGACTCCCTGCATCACCCATGATGACCCTCTAATAAAGACACGCTTTATCGTGATCCCATTGAACTTACAGTCTGTTCTTCATGGAGGCCACTGGAGCTCGAGTGTGCTAGTAGTAAGAAGCTGCGCTGCAATCCCAAAGGCACGCAGTTTGAATCCTCCAGCTGCTCCACGGGAGAAGGCTAGGCAATCTCCTCTTGAAAGATTAACTGCCTCTGAAAACCTACCAGAGAGTCAGCTGTGGGTCAGTTCTGAATCAACAGTACTTAACAACAGTATCTTGATATGGTTTGATATAAACTAGGACGTGTTCTCTTTCAATATCTTTTTGTCTCCTACTAGAGAACTAGACATACTTTGGACATGTTGTAAGGAGAGACAGGTCCTTGGAGAGGGACATCATGCTTGGGAGGGTAGAGGGACAGTGCAGGAGGGGAAGACCCTCTATGAGGTGGATTGATTCAGTGACTGGGGTAATCGGGATGGGTGTGTCAGAGGCAATGCGATTGGCACAGGATAGAGCAGGGTTTAGGGTTGTTGTACATAGGGTCGCTATGAGTCACAAACGACTCGACGGCACATAACAACAACAACAACTGGAGAACTGACAGGTCTGCTGAGTAAAGGGTGAAATAAAATTTCTCCTTAGAGGCAAGGATTTTGAGACTGCATCTCACACGCTTTGGGCATGCTGCCGGGAGGGACCAGTCCTTGGACAAGGACATCATGCTTGGAAAGGTGGAGGGACAGCGCAGCAGAGGAAGACTCTGGATGAGATGGAGTTACACAGTAACTGGGGTAGTTGGGGTAGGTCTGTTGGAGTCCATTAGACTAGTTCAGGACAGAGCAGGGTTTAGGGCTATTGTGCTTTGGGTCTGTATGAGTCATAGGTGACTCGACACCTAACAACAACATTCCAAGATGCAGTTTTTAGTGCATATGTGATGAGTGTGTGTGTGGGGCGGGGGGTGTGCGCTCTCTCTCTCTCTCTCTCTCTGACACAAACAGACACTTGATCGTTGGGTTCTGAAAGGTTATGTAACCAATAAGAAACAGAAAAATACATCTTACAATAACAGTCCTGAATGGATGTTGGGTTGTTATTTTTAGGTGATGTCAAGTTAACTATGACCATGATTTGGGGTAGAATGTTTGTCTTCCTTCCTTTTTTTTCTTCATATCTTCTCATCTCCCTACCTACCTACCTACCTACGTATGCATCGATCTGTCCTTCATCTGTCCATCTTTTCCATCCATAGTGACTGGTGAGACTCCTGTGTTCCTTTCAACGTTCTTTCTTGACTCTGATGTCTGGAAATCCTGGCTCTTGTAAGCACTTTCTGAAGTTGTCTGCCAGTAGCCCCTCCCAGCGATCTGCAGTCTCACACAACAACTTTCAGTTCCTCTCTGTGTCCCACTTTCTCTGAACTGCATGTGCTGATCTTCCAAACTCTGGATACTCCCTGCCCCACCCCACCCCCGGCCCCATCACTACTGGCTCGTGGCGCTGAATCATTCTCTGTTGTGGGGTTTCGTCCTGTGCATTGGAAGTGTTAAGCAATATTCATTACTGCTATCCCCCCATACTCTTGTAGCAACACCTCTTAACTGTGGCAAGCAAGAGAGTTCATTGTGGTCATGTGTCATTGAGTCAGGATTGACCATAGCTGACCTTCTAGCCAGTTTTCAGGGGCTGTAAGTCACACAGGGGAAGATTGTCCATCTTTCTCTGACAGAGCAGTGGTGGATTTTATTTGAACCCTATGTCATTGTGTTGGCAGTGCAATTCCTTACTGTAGGTCATCAGTGCTCCCTAGAAAGAGTTTACAGGTATTGCTATCTATCCCCTGGAGAGGAAATGTCCCCTGTTGAGAACCACTGCTCTAACTGGAAATGCTCCTCCCTCTTCTTTCATTCTTATCCTCGACTTGAAGGACTCATTTTACTGGTTCACCTCCTCCAGGAAGCCCTCCTGTGTTTCCCTTGGCTTTGTGGATTCCTCCAGTCACTTGTTCACATGCTATCTAGAAAGTCCTCACCTTATGGAGTCATCTCCTTCTCTAGGTGATGAACTCCATGCGGGACACACTGTGTTCATCTGATTCACTGCTTGTCCCACTTCACAGCTGATGCTCAAAAATGGTCCACTGAGTGAGCGAAGTCGGTGAACATTAAGGTTTGGCTGACATCACTGCCATCCAATACACTTCCCCGTAAAGAAAAGAAACACATCCATAGCTAGGCCAATAAGGAGCATCTTGATAAATGTAGAAAAGACTGAAGTTGCCAAAGATTTCATTTTACTTGGACCCACAACCAACACTCATGGAAGCAGCACTCAAGAACATAAAACTATGGTACATTCACACAATGGAATATTACACAGCACTGTAAAGCATTACACAACATGGGTGAACCTGGAGGATATTTTGCTGGGTGAACTATCTCAGTCACAAAAGAACAAATACTGCATAACACCGCTGGTATAAAGCAAGACTGAGATGGGGTATTAGGGGGAGAATAGGAAAAGCATAGGTGGATTAATGAACACTGCATTGGAACAGATGTGAGGAAGATGTGTTTAAAAGGAATATATGATTAGGCATTATATGTATGTTAATCTGGAACAAGAGGTGCATTGCAAAGTGTACTGGGGGAAGGAGAGGGAGGGAGGAAAATGTGCAGCATTAATTTTAAAAAGTTTTAGAAAAACAACAAAAAAAGTGGGCTAGGGGAGGAAGAAGGGAGGAGAGGGAGGAAAATGTAACAATAAAGGAATAAAACCCCACTTTTTCTGTAAACATTCATTAAATCATACTTTAAAACTTTAAAAACCTAATAAAAGAAAATTATGCTCTCCGTTAGGTAAATCTGCTGCTAAGGACTGCTTTACAATGCTAAAGAGCAAGGATGCCGCTTTAAAGACTAAGGTGCCTGGCTCAAGTCATGGTTCACATTTTACGTCTTCTTCAAGCAAAGGTGTGAAGGTGCACACAAGTGAGCAGTGTTCGCTTGTGTGGTACAGAGGGTGGTTACATGTTAAATTCAATCTGACAGCACCTAACAACAACAAGAAAGAGTTCCTATGAATCAGAATCAACCCAGTGGCATTTGGATGATGATGATGATGATGATTTTATCTCCATGGAAGCAGAGCACAAGCCTTTCTTCTGCAACACTGCTGGATGAGTTCAAATTGCCAACCTTTTAGTCATCAGACAATCTCCACTCACTTGTGCCACGCAGGGACCTCAATCCTTTATGACCAACGACCCCAGAGAAGAGGAGAAGGGGCACAGGGACGAGGGCGTGATGGAAGAACACCACATGATGCTGCGGATACAGTCGCAGAAATGCCTTGACCACCAGCCGCTGGGAAAGAAGCCAGAGTGATTTTTCAGTCAACATCTGCACAGCTGAGATGCTGGCTTGGGCTTCCAGCTCCGGAGCAGTGGGGCAACTAATTTCCATCTCTCAAAGCTTCCCACTATGTGGCATTTTATTGTAGGTCTAGGACACTCATCCCCAGGGTGTCCCCAGCACCTGGGTGGAGCAGCCTTCAGTATATGTCTGTTAAACAAATTACTCTAGTGGTTTGAAGCAGTTTATTTTGGCCTCAAATGTCCCCTTCAACCTTGACCTGGGCTAATAATAGAGTCTCAAACCCATCATATGGTATGTCAAGTGTAAGGGCTGAGATTAACCAGAAGGGGAGAGTTATCAAATGTGTATCAGAGAAATCAGGGGGCGGATGCTGGGTAGGGGTGGGTGCTGGGTGAATACAAGACACATGAAACCTAGTGGGGATGGGG